AGATCTCACGAAACTCTGGGCCGAGTCCGCTCAGTATTTTCACCACAAGTTCTTCATTAGCGACAAGAGAACCTGTGGCAAGTTCATCAGAGAGAGATCGAATCTCTCGCAGGTATTCAGCAATCGATTTGGTGTCTTTGGTGACCCGACTGAGATGGTGACGGAGACTAAAGATGCGAGTTTGCGATTTGTTCGCAAAGGAAGTATGGAGTTGATCCCAGGCAGATTTAGAGTTGGCTGCAAAAGCGACAGTGGATGCAATGGTGGCATCAACAGAGGCCATTAGAGCATTTTGGATCAGTGTATCTTGACGAAACCAATCCTTATACTCCGGGTTGGGCGTCTCACGGTTGTTGATGGTCACTGTTGTCGGAGGAGATGGCGTAGAGCCATCAAGATGACCATAGAGGTCATGACCATGGAGTAGCATGGCAATTTGGGCCTTCCATGTAGTGAAATTATGGTTGCCAGACAATTTAATGGGCAACTGAGATGATGGGTTGAATTGGATTAAATGTTTGAACACAGTGGTGTTGTCAGCATTAGCAACTGGTGTAGAGGAACCCATTTTTGCAGAGGAAAAAAAGAGAGGATTTTGGATAGTTTACTCGTTAGAGTGTTGTTTTGGCTCTGATACCATATGAAGGCAGAAAACTAGAATGAAAAGTCTGTATATTAGATGAGCCTCCAATGGAGTTTATATACAAAGGAAGTAACCAATTGTGCTAAGCTAACTCCTAGAAGGTAGGAAAATATAACCAGAACAAAAAATAAATTAACTGTAAAAGCTAAAATCCAGTGGATACTAAACTGTAGCCTAAAGTTACTGAACAAAGACCCATTCAAACCTAACAGCAGTAGTACATGCGCTATTAAATCCCAGACTCCCCTATACAATGTCTTTGTGTTAAAATGTTTGGCTGGGGTCGGGAATGCTGGAAATATGCTTATGAGCCAGGTTGGTCCTTGATTGTCTAGTTGTATAGCTTTGGGGCTTCATCAGGTTCAGATAGGAAAAAATACATAGTGATTAAATATCCAAGAACTGGGTCAAATATGAGGATATAAGCCAAGTTGGATAGACTATAATGGATACTTCTGGTTATCAAGTTGATGAGTTAACTTAGATCCAGTAGGTTCAGAGTTGCAACTTCATGCTCTAGAGCCCCATTCAGAGGCTATAATCGTGAGGCATGATAATAGTTTATCATGGTATCAGTGCAAACCTTCAGCAAATTGTGTATCAGTATTCTATACTGGTGTTTAAATCCCTCTTTTAGCAAAAAGAAACTGTATAAATCCCTCGTTTAGCAGAAGGAAATTGTGTAAATCCTTGTTCTTGCTCATTCACGGGTGTGGAATGTTGCAGTACGATAGTAGGGTACATATAGCAATGGAAAGAATTATAGAAAGTTCATGAAAGACTCCAGTGAGAAAAAATAGAGAAAAATACAAAGTAAAGGGTGTCTGAAGTTTCATCTTCTATAGAAGTCAATTGATTTCTTCAAGAGATCTCCTTGCAAGAGTTTTCTATGCTTTGGTCGGTTTATATTTCTTCAACTACTGGCGATTTCCTGTAGCTGTATTTGTGATTGGTTCCACTGCTTCTTCTATTTGATTTCCATTCCTTTCCTGCAGCTTCCCCCTGTGAAAAGATATCAGGAAAAATATTTTAAGTACTTTGTTAATATGACAGCATGAGTTTGTAGCATAATAATCTCACATTTGTAACATAACCATGTCTTTTCTTGCCACTGGATCCTCTTCAAAAACTTCAATCTGAAGGAAAGAAAGAACATCATGTTAGATATTTTTGCTCATTGATGGAATTTAACAAATCTGATGCATATGATTTTTTGTATCATACAAATTTCCATCCGAGAAGATTCTCGCATTTATTACAGTAGACATCTGCTACTGTGTGAAGACCAAGTTGCCTCTGCTGCTCTGCTTCGTTTACATGCACATTCACCCTGCATATTTCATCTTTTAGGTTAGTTCTTTGCTGTTCAGACAACTCCTATTAAACTATTCCAGGAACGAAAGCTTACACTTTATCAAATACACCTCCAGTCACCCCGGTTGCTGGCTGAAAAACACATAACAGTAGATAAATGAAATAAGAAGAATCATTTTATATNTAGTAGTATGAAGCTTACTCTTTGATTAAATATAGGAAAAATGTAACGTGGAGTAAAAAGCCCATAAATCACAAGATAGTACTGCTACTTCGTAAATGCTAAATTGGTATGCATTTTCTTGATCATTCTGTCCCTCTTTCTTATAGACATAAATTGATGTTGTTGCACATTCTTGCAAAATTAAAGAAGAAAGATAATGTTGGCGGTACTTGAGAAATGGACAGCAAAAGAAGAAAGGGACAAGAGACGGACCAAATTTCTGTGCGCATAAAATGCAATTAAGCCTTGAAACTTATCCAAATAGAATCGCAGCCGTCATTTTTCAAGAGAAGATTAACCAGAACATTGTAATCTCGCGAATACGATGAATATGCGCATTACGTATCTGATGTGTCTAATCAAAACATATTTTCATTTAATATTCGGAATTGAAAGATTAGCAACACTATTAGAGATGGTTCAGCTATTACAACGCTAAACTAATTTGACTCAAGAAAAAAAGATTACCTACCGTGTAGTTAAGGCTGAAATCTTGGGTGAGAGCGACATGGTTTTGGCAGATACAGCACACGTAGAAACGAAGACTGGGATCAGACACATCGAACTCAACATGAAATGACTTTCCCATACTTGCTTATGTATGTAGAACTATTTTGAAGCAGAGAAGAATGTAACTCACACGAACTTGGTAAGTTGTCAGTGGTGATGAGATCGAGAGCAGATGAAGAGGTTTAAGAGAACCGGGAACTAGGGGAGTTATGATCGACGCGCTCCTCTTTTAGAAAATAAAAGATGTTCAATTAATTCTGTATAGAATATTGATTGCGACGGATAAGGCAGTGAACTATATATAGCATCGTTTCTTGATTAACAGGAGAAAAGTCAAGTTATAGAAATTACAAGAGATTGGGGGGTTTGCGGAATTTCTGTTGTGCATAGTTAGTTACGTGTGTATATTTATATGGGATTAAACGGTCTTTGCCAGAAGGTAAGCTAATAAGGATGTTGGGAGGAAGAGAAATCTCTACTTAACTGCCAGTTAACCTCTTAGATGACCCATTTGGTTCAATGGCTCACTTCAATCTAAACCTGGTCCTAAAATGAATTTCACGAAGCAAGGCAACTAATAAGATACTTGGATCTACCTTTCATCTAATTCAATTTCCAGAAAGTTATGCTCCAACTAATAAGATACTGTTAGTGATTTTAATTGGCCTTTTTTTAATCAATTACTGCTTCTCATATAGCTGCTGGAGACCGAGGATCAAAGTTTTTAGCTATATCCACAGTTAAATAATAGCTCAACGATACATCTAGTTTCTTCAGAGGAGATCGCATTGGATTAAAGACCAAATGGGACTAGATCTCCTTCTCCACTTTTAATTGAACTCCAAAAATATTATTCCATTAAAGATAGAAATTTGATTGACAGTATTAATTGGAAAGCTTTAAAAAAAAAGAAGAAAAAAATCATGTCACTTTGCACCAAAAGAAAAATTGAAACTGAATATAACTTTAATAGGATTGTATTGCAAATATGAACTACACATACTGGATCGAGAAGATCCATGGGTAAACCCCCAAAAACAAAAGAAAAAACAGTAAAGTACCATCCGATTTAACTAATCCTAAACAAACATGACCATAAACTCAAAAACTATTCTAACAACAATCCATCAGAACGAACTTCAAGAGCTAGTAAACTTGGTAACAGCCTTAGTACCCTCAGAAACAGCATGCTTAGCCAATTCTCCGGGAAGTACAAGTCTCACAGCAGTCTGGATCTCCCGAGAAGTGATTGTGGGCTTCTTGTTGTAACGAGCCAATCTAGAAGATTCCTGGGCCAACTTCTCAAAGATATCATTAATAAAGCTGTTCATGATACCCATGGCCTTGCTTGAAATCCCAATATCAGGGTGGACCTGTTTGAGCACCTTGAAAATGTAGATCTTGTAAGTCTCAACGCTCTTCTTGGCCTTCTTCTTCTTCTTATCTCCGGCAGCGGCACCGCCGTCTTTTGGGAGTTTCTTCCCGGCCTTTGGCTTCTTCTCCGCCGGAGCTTTCTCGGCGACGGTGGTTTTCTTCTCCTCCACCGGCTTCTTTTCTGCTGGCTTCTTCTCTGCCTTGGGTGCCATTGAAACAAAATGTGTTTACAAAGAAAAAAAAGTGAAGGGAATTTGAATGCTGCTGTTTGTAGGTGAACTGATATTTTGAGATGTGGGCAAGTGCAATGTATATATAGAGGCAGCAGATGAAATCTTATTGGTTAATGGTTGAGGCGCGCGGATAGATGAGTTGGCAGGATTTGGAGCGTCGGATTTATATGTTCTCGTGTGAGGATAAATGCGCGGTGGTGATAGAGTTTACCTTTTGGGCTTTTTATTGTATGGGAAAATAGTGGGAGGAGTTTTGGGCAAATTTCCACTTCGCGCCTCTGGCGTTGGCGGTTCCCTAAAATTCATGAAATTTCGGCGGATTTTAGAAAAAAGAAAACTTTTGGCGGATCTTTGTTTAAACTTTGGTGGATTAATTTACTGGGAAAAATGGAGAATGAGAATATAATATGGTTAATGTTATAAAACAATAAAATAAGAAAAGGAGTATTGCAGAGAAAACTAGAAAGAGAACTCTTATTCATTTGGGAGATTTAAAATGGAATATAATATCTCTATTTATAGGGAAAAGTAACTTAGCCACTAAATAACAAACCCTAAAATTTCTCTAAAATATAGACATTCACCTTAAAATATAATTCTATTTATAACACCCCCTTGAATGTCTATTCAACAGATAATGTGTCTCGTTAAAACCTTAAATAAAATAAAATCCAGTGAAAAAAATTCTAGTGAAGGAAAAAGAGTACACATATCTAACAATACGCCTTTTGGTTGTCTCGTTAAAAACCTTACAAGAAAAACCCAGTGGGACAAAACCTTATAAGGGAAAAAGAGCACAACGCGTATTAACTCCCACTGATGAGAGCATCAATTTACATGTTTAACAATTCGCATCCCAATCTGTACATTAGCTTCTTGAAGGTTGACGTCGGTAGAGATTTGGTGAACAAATCAGCCATATGAACTTGAATGAATATGTTGCACCTTGAATCATTCCCGATAGAGAGGAATTGTCTTCGTATGATCTTGTTGGAATCGTCATTTCAACATCATCGGCAAAAACTCTTGCTATCATATTATCATATAGCAAAATACATTTGTGCACAAATTGCACTAAGGATGTGGTACTTCAAGATCAAAAATTGTATATGCTTTAAGCGATTTAAATCTTTCAGAAATTGTCATATAAGTTAAGTCAAATAAGCTATATAAATAGACTTTAGGTGCATATCAAATTTTCATGACATGCTAGACATATAAGATAGATAAAAGTGATTGCACACTATGTTGACTTTATACTTTCAAGTGTTTGAATTGCATCTCCAAAACTATTTGTCTTACATATGAAACCAATTCTACTTGAATTGTTTCTCCAGATTTAAGATCCTCATATGTATTCAGCGTTATTTTAGATGTAGTGACGAACATCTTATACCAGTTCCAACCTCCCTTTTTTCATAAAGACATAACATAGAGATTTCTTTATTCATATTTTTAGGTACCTAAACCTCTCCTGAGATTTTATGAAGTGTTATATCATGTGATCTTTTAGATCACTTGCCTACTTATTATGATCATTTTGACCATTTGCTCATCTTCTTTATCAAGATTTTACTTGAAACCAAATTGTCTAAGCGTATCATAGACTTTGTCATTCTAGGACTTATTCTAATAAGAGCATTTGCATTGAGAATATAGTTACTTTTTGGGGTCAGCAAATGTTTCTATCATGCTTTGTAATATATTGCAGACGAATTCTCTTTTTATGAACTTCAAGTTCATATCATCTTATTCGAGGATCTAGGTATAGAAATGATAATTCATTCTGCATAACTTTTTCTCAACTGTTTATCCTTTCTCCCGTCATGTTAGAAAAACTAACTTGCTTCCTCAACTTTGAAAATCTAGCTTTGTGTGTTATGGTGTTAATTAAAATATACACCGCATACAACAATAATAAGATAAAATTATTTGGTTCCTGGCTCCGAACTACTTGTGAGGGGAGAATTTAATATACTTTCGAATATAACCTGTATCAAACTGATATAGATAACTTTGTTCTCATAAACAACAATTTAGCTATTAAGTGGAGGCACTCAATAAATTATTTTGCTAAATCAATTGTGATGTAAACCAACTTATCAAGATGAACTGTTTTGAATAGAAAATCTGAAAATTATGCTCTAAATTAAATTATTGAGCAAAGTTACCTCGCAAACACCATGTTGCAGGTTAATAATAATCGCACATGTAATCATCTCATGAATGCATATTATGTGGTATACATGGCAGGTAAATGGGCCCATATTCACATTTGATATTTCCAGCATTCATGGGATTCAATCCCAATTTTAGTTGGTATATTAATTAATGAGAACAAGCAACATAAGAGAATTCATAAAGAACTTTCTAATTCTTTAATATTTACCCATGTGAATTCTCTTTTATTTTTGCACATCATACTTAAATTAACATGGCTAAACCAATTATACCAACTGGATAAATTATCAATATTGATAAACTTCAGGTTTACACCATGACGTGTGCAATTATCAATAAACTCCAAGTTTATTATGATATGGGATTTTATATCAATAAACTTCCACTTTTGTAACGACCCGATCGGTCGTTTTGAGCATTTACAATTCGCTCGGTGGTTTGAGGGCATGAGTAGATCCGTATGATGTATTATGACTTGTGTGAGTAGTCGGCGTTGGTTTTCAGGTTATTCAGAGTCGATTCGGAAGAATGAATTTTATGATTTAAGCTTTAAGTTGGAAGAGTTGACAAAGTTTGACTTTTTAGTATTTGACCTCCAATTGAAGTTTTGATGGTTCCGTTAGGTTCGGATAGTATTTTTGACTTGGGCTTATGCCCGGATTTGCATTTGGATGTTTCTAGAGGGTATCAGCATTGGCGAAAGTTGGAAATTTGAAGGTTTGGAAAGTTCACTAGTTTGATCGAGAGTTCATAAGTTTGATCGAGAGTTGACTTTGATGATATTAGATTCGGATTGTGGTTCCGAGAATCGGAATTGCTTTGTTATGTCATTTGGGTCTTGTGTGCAAAATTTGAGTTCATTCCTGGTTGAATTGATATGTTCCGACGCGAGTTTGGAAGTTGAAGATTCAAAGTTCATTAAGTTCGATTTGAGGTGTTACTCGTTGTTTCGATATTGCTATGTGTGATTTGAGGCTTCGAGTAAGTTCGTATTGTATTTTAGGACTTGTTGGTATGTTCGCACGGGGTCCCGCGGGGATCAGGTGTGTCTCAAGGTGAGTTTTGAACGAGTTTGGGTATTTCGGCACTTTGATGATGTTCTGGAATAGTTGAAGTGCGGAGGACACATTTTGGAGTGCTGAGGCAAAGCCTCATATGCGGACCATAGAGGAAAAGTGCGGACAATAGAGGATATGTGCAGATCGCAGAGGAAATGTGCGGACCGCAGAAAGGAAAATCTGCAGGTTTGATGGTCTGACTTCAGAAGCATATATCTTTTAATCTATAAGGA